TGTCAGCCTGCTCCAGCAGCGGGGCTCTCAGCCATGCAGAGAGAGATGGACACACCTGGGGAGAGCAGGGGAGATGTGCAAGATGCAGAGGAAGAGCGAGGAGCAGCTGGGGAGGAGAATGGCTCTTGTCGCTAAAAGGGGAAGGGGGCAGGAGGGAAGGAAGGGGTGGGATGAGGAGTGGATGGTGAGGTGGGGAAGGGGTATGGGATAGGGAAGAGAAGGTGATAGAAGTGGGGGCAGGGGGAAGCTGGAGTCCAGCATGCGGCATCCACTTGGCAGACGCTGGGGCTCCCCTGTCAAGCAGGCCCATCGAACCCTCACCCTGACAAGCCCTGCCTCCCCTGCATCTGTATCACCCCAATGAGACTCCCAGACACCCTCCCCACTAAGCCCCAACCACCTGAACCTGGACCCCCATCCAAATGAACCCCACCTCCCCTGCATGTAGGCCCCCACGCTGAGCCCCAAACACCTTCACCTGGATCCCCTGCAGAGTCCCATTGCCCCTGCACCTGGCACCCCCCAATGAGCTTCTGTGCATCCAGATCTCCCACTGAGCCCCCCGCACCCAGATTGCCCCACAGAGAACTCTCTTACCCCCAGCTGGATCCCCTCACACTAAGTCCCTCTGTACTTGGATCCTGCTGCCAGACTGAGCCTGCTCACCCACACCTGTTGTGCCTGGCACAGGAGGCAGGGCCCCAGGGTGATTCTGGGGCAGGCCTGACCCTTGCACTGTGTCAGGGTCTGGTGCAGCCTCACTGAGGCATCCCTGTCCTCGGGTGGGGTGGGGTGGGGTGGAGGGAGGCTGCAGGGTGATCTCCCACCTCCATGCAACCAGTGGCCTGTGCTCCCCCCTGCCATGTTGGAGCCTCCACATTTATTTATTGACAAATAAAATTTTCAGAATTTTAAAATATTGTGTGCAGAATTTTTAATTGGTGCAGAATCCCCTCAGGAATATGGGGTGTGTGCAGCTGTGATGGTGGGACTGTGAGGAAGGAGGTGGGCAGTGGGGAGACCCATGGGCGGGGGGTGCTGGGCGAGCGGTGTGGAGTGCAGGGTGCTGTGCAGTTGGGGTGGAAGACCAGTAGGGGAGATCTCTGGGCGAGGGGGCGCTGGGCATAACAGTGGGGCTTTGGGCAGGGGGTGGTGTGGTGCATAGGGTTACCATATTTCAACAAGCAAAAAAGAGGACGGGAGGAGCCCCGCCCTAGCCCCGCCCCTGCCCCTCCCACTTCCCGCCCCCCCAGAACCCCCAACCCTCCCCCCGTTCCTTGTCCCCTGACTGCCCC